AAAAAGATATTACAGATCGAGGTGCTGGAATGTAAGCCCATTGGCAAACCTCTGACTTGTTTAAAAAGTTGATTTTGAAACCTGATGTAGTTATGAAAAAGTGTGCATTTTAGGTAGGTGTTCCATTTGTTAAGAGTCATAATTGTGAGCATATTAGGGAAGAGTTTTGGCAGATCAAGTAGACTGGTATAGATTTCTTCTAGAGGAAGTGAGGTATATAAGTTTTCAGTGAGGTATATAAGTCATAGCAGTTAATGCTTTGGATGTTAATTGTTTGAATGGCATTAATGGCAGGAGTGTTATTATGGATGATCCAGCAATAGTTATGATTAGTGTTACAATCGTTGAAAAAAAAATTACAGATTTTTTTAAGTTGAATTGAAAAATAATAGTCTACATTTTTCTTGTAATTATTAGTTCCATTAGCTATAAATCTGAATTTCAATGGTGTTTTATGGAATTTGGGAATTGCATAAAGGTTAGTGAATCTGTTGTAGTTTGTATTTAAAGTAATATTGATTTTTTTATGAAAAGTTTTAATCCTGTTTATTATAGATGTTTCTGTAAGGTTGGCTAATTGATAAGTAGTTGCGTTGAGAAGTTCTTTATGAATAATTTCTGCGTAGAATTGTTTTCATGTAATGCTAAAGTTATTATTTGCTTTATCTATTTTTGTAATAGTAAAAAGCTGTTTTAATTTTTTAATACCTGATGTAAGTTGCGACCAATTCAGTGTACTTTTAAACTTGAGGTGACTGATTTCGGTGGATATGCGTTGAAAAATTTTATCTTTCCATTTTAAGAAGGTATCTATGGGTAAATTCAGTTCATAGCTTGCTTTAACTATAAATTCGTTGATGTTGTTTTTGAAAGTCTTGTAACAGTAATTTTTAGTCATGTTTCTGACTGGTCTAAATTTTGTACCATAACTCATTAGTGTTTTAGTTGATGGTTTTGTATGATATTCAGGTTGCCAGTAATTATGTGCTGGTGATGAGAATCTACGTAATTGCTGTAAATTGGTGTCTTACAATGTCATTCTGCTGTTTCATCTATTTCATGGTGGTTAGTGAGCAAGTTGCTTAAGGTCCTTTGATATTTAAATGCAACCATTGGTATTGTATCTACAGCTGGGAAGTAAACTTTACAATTGCTGATGATTCTTGAGAAATGAATATTGTCAAACTGCGGATGCAGAAAATTGACTTTAAAATAAATTTTGCGTTGAGTGAGACTATTAGAAAGTCTGAAAAGACTAAAATCGAGAATCATGTCTTTAATGATTTGTATGTCGTCGTAGCTTTCTTGAATGAATTTTTTTAGTTTGACAAAGAATTAGTACAAGAGTGTAACCAGTTGAGAAGTTTCTTGGGGAAGTTGTCTGTGTCAAAAAAAGATTTCAATTGTTTTTTCAATGCAAGTGATAAAAATCTCGCATTATTTTTTAATTTGCTTACTCTTTTTCCTCTTTGCGTTTTGTTGCTGTAAAGCTTAAATTGGTTGAAAATAGATTTTTTAGAAGTATTTCTATGACTATGTATATAAGTGTTAAGTCCATATGGATAAACTGAACATTGTTTTAGTATATAGAGAGATTCCTGAAAAATTCGTTTTTTGTGATTGGGTATTATATGTAATATCTGAAGTTGAATAGAGTTGAAGTCATGGTGTTTAAAGTGCTCTAATTCTGCTGTATTGAGTTGTGATGGTGTACTTAATTTAATGCTATTTTTTTGTGCCTTGAATTTTTTAATTTGAGCTCTATGGTTATTGATTCGAAAGTTAAGATTGTTTTTAGTCTGTCCTATATATTTCATATGTCAGGTGCCGCAGACAGTTAGTTTTTCATAGAAATTGTTTTTTTGGGTTGCCTGTAGCAGGCATGGCGTTAATTTTCAACTTTGTTATCTAGTGGAATGACATTTAATGATTTCAATTTGAGTTGGATGACTATCAGTTGAAGGATTTGTATATAGTGTAATTACTCAGTTGTATTTATTGTAAAAAGCTAATCGTCTTCAGACTTATGCTGTTACTAAAAAAAATGGGCGTATTTCATAATCTTTAGTCTGTCTAATAGCTCTTAGACAGTGAAAATTCCTTTTTTCCTTTCTTAAATTCTTAATCATTTCGACACGACAATTAGCCAGAAATTAATTAATTTCCATTCACTAGTATTTTCAAAAAAATCTTAACAGACAGTTTCACTCAAATAAGAACTCCACATAATACATCCCTCAAGAATTCCGAGTCCCACCCACTACCATAAATTACTTCACCCAAGTCTTACCGACTGATATTATTCAAAGCCCCCGCTGCTGCTAAGAATTTTTCGAACACCCTACACTTCTGTGTCAGACGCGAAGAGAACACTTTGCCGACTCTCCACTAGAAAGAATGTAAGTTAATTAATACTTTCTCTGGCCTTTATATCTTCATGTACATTCACTGTTCTTATTATTTTTTTTTATATTATTTTTGATTTGTTTTTACAAAGTTTGCATTATTTATCTTTTTTTGTAATCTTCTATGTTTATTTCAACTTTATACTTTGAATTGTATTTCATAATGACAATTTCCAATGTTTAATTTTCACAAATAACATAGAAATCAAATGCATAAACACGGGGGTGTCGGGAGACGGTTACTCGAGTTTTTTCGGACTTCCCTACAGAAATTGCTTTTCACTCAAAATTGAATTGGCTAAAATGTTTCATAAGAATAAATTCTTTGAGTATCAGCATTGGTTCATAATCCCTTCTATTCACGGAATTATTTGGTCTGACTAGAATTGCCGGTTTGGCTTAACCTTATTACTCAAGTAAAGACGAAACACCTTCGTATTTACGTATTTATTTATTAATTATTGTTCATTGAACGGGAGTTGGTTTGTTCCCAACTCCCTTTCAATGAACAATAAGTCAACTAATTTCCGATCAATGACAATGATTACATGCATTTAATTTAATTTTTCCTTTTACAATTGAAATTTTGTTCTTCATGATGATTTAATTCCAGTCCCCGTTAAAACATTATTAACATTTTGCTTTCAAGTTACTTCAAAACATCTTTCAAAATATAACTTATTAGTATGGATTCACTCTTTTAAAATATTCTACTAATATAATCAATTAATCAATATTGTTTAGGAAATAAATTATAAATCCCTGGAAGCATTTATCAAATAGATATAAAGATACTGAAACAAATGTTTTTCTCTAATGAGTTTGTGACGTTTTGGTGGAAATGGATATAATCAGTACCAACTTATTAAGCAGAAAATGTTTTAAAGCAAAGGCTTTTTAAGATATCACTGTCAGTTCTACTGTTACTTGTGTGATTATATTAAATAACAACCATTGTGTTGTAGAGTTCCTCTCTTTGGAATTCTAAGTTAATGTTGGAAGTGAAGAATCTAAGAACTGATAAGCGAATAATCGCCGTTCGGTGACAAGAAACAACAAGATAGAAGGGTAACTAACCCTTTATTATTCCAATAAGATTTAACAAAACTCCTCCTGGGTGTGTACTAGCAAAGCCCGCACTTGGACTTGAACTTAAAAGACTAAGAATTAAACTAAAACTAAGATTAACTAAAGAAGTATAGCCGAAGCTATCAAGGTTCAAATTGAGCTGGCCCCTTAACTTATTTGACTACGAAGCTTAGCAAGGGCCTGAATAAGGCCGGACGTAATAACAGCTTTGAGAGAGAGAGTGGCCAAAAAGGCAGACGCGCGTAAATCAGAAACTCTGATTCTCTCTGCCTCAGTAAGTAACTTCGTGGTTTAAATACCGCTCCTCCTCATTTAATATTCAGCAAGATTCCAAAACTACGTTCTGGCCGGAAGTAGTAAGTTGAAGTTAAGAACTTGACAGAAAGGAACTTTAACTTAAAATTTAACTGTTAATAAAATTAACACAATTCTTACAGTGTGCTTAACACACATATAGTAAATTCTTAAAAGGCTTAAAAACATTCTTAAATAAAATACTTTAAGTTGGGGATTGGAGTTTATAAGTATCTTTTTTGGCCTGTCATAATGAAATATTCTGTTTCAGACTATCTATGCAAATAAATTGATTTCGAATTATGTGAAAGTAGTGTAATATCTAGTTCTTCATTGGCAGAGGAATGCTTTTTTAATCACATTGAAAAACAAAAGTATATTTTACAGTCACATTGCTGAATTTTTATTGACTGAACAGGCAATTTAAAAAACGGGTCATAGTGGTAATCTTAAATTAAAATAACATGTGAAGAATTGAAGGGAGCCATACTGTAATATATTAAAGAGGAGAAGTAAAATTTAAAATACCAGTGATTACCTGTGTCAGATTTGAAGCTAGTAATTTAATGCATGCACAAATATTTATTTGTATATACATTGTGCCCACTAAAATCCTTACCTTCCTTTATTTCCACAACCACTGATTTAGACATAATAATTGAAAAATAGTTTAAAAAAATTCCAAGCAGAAGATTTTTTTTCACAGCAAAGCAAAATCGCCTAAAAAATGTGCGAACAGCCACTTCAGTTCTGCTCATTCCAGAAAAAATATCCTTTACTCTGCTGATTAAATTAAACACACTGCGTGTCTTCTTGTGTCAATACACATCATAATTTTGTCCTCGAGAAGACAGATAGCACTGGTATATATTATCATATTCAGAGTATGCATTGACAATTTAATTTTCATAACTAAAATGTTAGCTAATTCCAGCTAAGACGCATACACAAACAAGTTTTCATATTTTACATGTTCTAATATTTCTTCAAAAATTGTTAATTAAATGAAATGGATGGCCATATTCTCCTCATATCCATCAGTGGTTCCAGAAACATACTTACCACAGTAAAAGTGTCGTAACTATCACCGTGGAATTTTGCAACAGTTATAGCACTTTTCATTGATCTGTTTAAATCCTGTTTCATCATTATTACTGTAATGTATCTGTATGATTGAATTAATAATTTTCTCTTTCCTCCTCCTTTTGGCAGCTTTAGGGCGTGATTTAATTGAAGATGTCTGTGGTAATTGAAACTACAATTGGAGATATAACTGTTGATCTCTATCTAAAAGAAAGACCAAATACATGCTTAAATTTCCTAAAACTGTGCAAAGTGAAATATTACAATTTATGTGTTTTCCACAAAGTTGAAAGAAATTTCATTGCTCAGACTGGTGATCCAACAGCGACGGGCCGAGATGGCGAATCTATATTTTGTCGCTTGTACGGAGAACAAGCGAAGTATTTTGATGCTGAATTAAAGCCACGCCTCAAACATGAAAAAATCGGCACTCTTTCTATGGTCAATAATGGGAATAACATGAACGGTTCTCAGTTCTTTTTAACCCTCGGTGAAAATCTTACATATCTGGATGAAGTTCATACCGTATTTGGTGAAGTTGCTGAAGGTTTTGAGACTCTTCTTAAAATCAATGAAGCTATTTGTGATCCTAACAACCGTCCGTACCAAGATATAAGAATCACACATACTGTGGTACTGCATGATCCTTATGATGATCCTAAAGGATTAGAAATTCCCGATGCATCGCCTGAGCCTACCAGAGAGCAGTTGGAATCCAATTATATTGGTGCTGATGAAGAAATTGATGACACCAAAGGCAAAAGTATGGAGGAAATTGAGGAAAAAATTAAAGAAAGTGAAGCAAAAGCAAGAGCCACAATTCTAGAAATGGTTGGAGATATACCAGATGCCGATGTAAAACCTCCAGAAAATGTATTATTTGTGTGCAAGCTGAATCCAGTTACAACTTCTGAAGATTTAGAAATAATTTTTTCCCGATTTGGACCAATAAAAAGTTGTGAGGTAATTAAAGACAAAAAAACCGGGGAATCTTTACAGTATGCCTTCATTGAATTTGAAAATGAAGAAGATTGTGAAAATGCTTACTTTAAAATGGACAACGTATTAATTGACGATCGGCGAATCCATGTTGACTTTAGTCAGTCTGTCTCAAAATTGCAATTTGATATGCAAAAGAAGTCTTCAAAGGGAAAACCATCCCAGTCACAGAACTTTTTGATAAAAAATACTCAGAACTCATCACGTGGGTATGATATGATTTTTGATATGGATGAAAATAGTAACGAACCTCGGACTCACAGAAAAGTTCATAGGCAAAAATATTCAGTGTCACCGAAGCATAAGCGAAAACATAAAAATGAATCACATGACTGTAAAAGTAGTAAAGCAGATGGAAACCGCACACGGAGAGACGAATGTAGGGAAATAAGAAAAGATCCATCCTCTCCCCATCATTATTCATCGTATGATAAATATAAAAGAAGTCATACCTCTATATCAGAAAAGACTAATATTAATGAGTATAAACGAACTAATTTAGATTGGAGGAAACCTGAGAATAAATCAAGGAGGAAATCTAGATCACCATCTCCATCAAATGGATCGTTAAGGTATTCTCATGATAAACACAAAAGACCTCAGACAGAAAAACATGAAAGGAATGTTGCTAAATGGACTGATTCAGATCGGAGGAAACAAGAGAAAAAATCTCGGAAGAGGTCTAGATCATCATCTTCATCAAGTGAATCTTTAAGATATTCTCGTGATGAACGTAAAAAGTCTCCCATGTTAGTGTTAGGAAAAGATAAAAGGAATGTAGATAAACAATCTGATTCAAATAGAAGGAAAAAAGAGAAAACTTCAAGCAAAAAGCCTAGATCATCCTCTTCATCAAATGAATCTTCGAGTCGTTCTCGAGATAGATCACAGATTAAGAAATCCAAAAAGAAAAGGTCAAAACGTTCCAGTTCTTCATCCATTCATTCAGATTCTTCATTTCATGCACATGAGTACGCATCAGAAAAGCAGAATGCAGACAAGGCCTTATCACATAAGTTAAGCTCTTCATCTCGTACTTCATATTCTAAATCAAAAAGATATGTTTCAGATTCAGGATCTACATCTTCATCTTCAGATGACTCAAATCGTAATTCACATTCAAAGTCAGACAGGGAAAAAGTAAAATACATTTCAAATTCAAAATCTGCATCTTCACCTCCACATCGTGTAAGTCTTAATTCGCATTCAAAGTCAAAAGCGAAAGCACTGAGACATGTATCAGATTCGAGATCTTCTATATCTCCGGAATGTTCAACTCAGAATTTACATTCAAATTCCAAAAGAAAAAAGACAAAATATACTTCAAGATCTTCAGCTCCCGATCTATCTCTTGAGAACATGACAACAAAACGTTCTCATCATAAATCTTACAGGGGTAGAGAAGACAGCTATCATCGTTAAAAACAATTTTAATTTGTAAGAGCTTTTGAACCAGTTTTTATTGTAAATTTCAGGGAATTCCGAATCTAATTAAAATGAAAGTCTTATTATACTTTAGTTTGTTTCCTTCCTACACATGTAGTGTACATTTTATTATTAATTTTGCGTAATAAATAAGTTGGTGGATAACTTACTGCGCTAAACGTTCCTTGCATTTTTTTTTTTTTAAGAAGCCTCATTGAGGTATTTATCATTTTTTAATTTGCGATAAATCATATTAATTTTAAATTGACGTGTAAGAAAGTACGACGAGTAAGATATTTATTTTTAATATTGTAAAAAAATCCAATGCTTAATGCAGCCTTAATTATTTAAAAAGCCATTTTATAAGAACTTGACTTCGAGTGTTGCTTTACAATTGTGTTTTCCAAACTTTTGCAATTACGGAACACGTTGTAAGTTATAAAATTTTTAATTAAGAAGCACTAGAGTAAATTTGGTTTTTAGCTACGAAAAATGATGACACAGGTATAGTTAGATACGTTACCATTAGGTTTCAATTCAGTTATTTCACAGAATAGCTAGGTATTTCTTTAAATAACTAGCCAAGTCGATTAAATAGTCATAACAGATTAATAATTTCACACTTTCTTTAGTTATGCTATAAATTAGCTATTCATAGACCATTAATTTAAGTAATTTGACATGCAAACAAGTTCTTTGTTTTATAAAATAACGGATGATAAATAGTTAAGTTTGCAGTAATATTTATATTTCAGTTTTTTATAGCTAATACTAGGAGTTTTTACAGCGGAAAATATAAGTAAAGCTTATAATACAATACAAATAATAATAATAATGACAATTCTAAGTACTACAACTAGTTCAGACAGCTTTTGTTTGCTGTCTGTAATACTTTAATTGTGATTTAGTCAATGAAATCATTAATTAAGTCTTAGAATCCAATAATTTTATATTTAAGTGATTCAATTATGTCGTTCGTGAACTATATATTATTTTATGAAATAACGCATTCTATGCTTTAACGATGACACTTAAAGCATTTATATAACTATAAGAGAAACGTTTTTAAATTTAATGTTGGGAAAAAAAAAAAAAAAAAAAAAAAAAAAAAAGAAAGAAAGAAAGAAAGACATAATAATTTAAATGAAATAAATAATGCTAAAAAAATAAAAAAAATAACTTTTTTTTTTTTTTTTTTTTTTTTTTTTTTTTTTTTTCCCAGCTTTCATATGCTTGCGTCCTTCAGTTAGATTCTTTCAATGTCTGGCACAATGTTAGAACCTGAATTCTTGAATCAAATGCATTAAGTCGGTTTCTATATTCAGCAAGAGAAAGTACATTATTAATAGCTCCTTTTGAAGAATTCACATATTCTATTGACAAGCTTGTCCAAAAACTCGTGTATTGATAGTTTAGTCCAAAGGGACAATTGGCCCTGAAGGACTGTTAATTTCGTTTTGGCATTTTGCGTTGGAACCATAAACGGCGAAGCACTTTTCAAATTGTTGCCAACAAGTATTATCGCCCTGTATTATATTTAAAAAATTAAATAACGAATGTGCATGAATGTATGTATGTTTCTCGCATTGTGATAAAACAACGGTACCTAGAGCCATCAAAATATGAATAACGTAGTCTTCCATAGAATATGGGCATGTGAAAGCCCTAATATGAATTTGAAATTTGTTTTATTATCGATTTCATATTTTGTAACACTTACGAAATTTTGATTAAAAAAACTAAGCGATTTCAAAGCGAGCAATGGCAACACTGTACGAAAAAAAAAAAAAAAAACATTTTTGTCATCGGAAATTCTAAACATATACTGATTTTAAAATTATTTTACGATACTGCTGTTGAACTGAATTTTATGGTTTGAGTACGTAGAACATGATATTTAATAAATAAAGGTAACGCACAAAACGTTGGAAAAACGCCTTTTTGGACGTAATTTAAAATCTGAAACCTCTCAGATTAGTTTTTTACTCATATTCATATTTTTTAAATTTTGGTTTTATGCCAGAATTAATTAATTTCTGCGAAATCGGCTGTGTTCGTATATGTTGGTTTTTCTTCATCCAAGAATTGTCGTCTTGTTTTTTTTTTGAAAATTATTGATCAAAGCTTAATTATAAGTCATGTGAATGTTGTATTATTTTATAAACTTTACTGTCTTTAACTTTTCGTCATTTAAAAAGTTATTGAAGAATCGCATTTATTCTTTTCTAGAAAAGAAATGCAAAATATTAATTTTCATTTAAAAGATGTAATTTTATTCTTAACATTAAAAATGGAAATATTTCTTGCTTGTAATCATTTTTTTTTTGTGACCCTATTAAATGTATCTGTTAAATACAATCAATAACTATGCAAGATTTATTAGAATTCCATTAAATTTTGCCTTGAGCTCTTTGATGAAAAAAAGAAAAACAAGATACAATTTATTTACACTCGTGGGAAAAATTAAGAAAATAGTAATAATAATAATAATAATTAAAAAAACTGAAATGCTTCAGATTTTAAATTACGTCCAAAGGGGAGCTTTTTTTAACATTTTGTGTGTTACATTTATTTAATATCACGTTCTTCGCACTTAAACTATAAAATTCAGTTCAACAGCAATATCGCAAAATAATTTTAAAATGAGCATATCTTTAGAATTTTCCGATACGCGCTGGAGATAAAAATGTTTTTTCTGTACAACGTTGCCATTGCTGGCTATTGTTTTATCTGTACAAAGTTGCCATTGCTCGCTTTGAAATCCTTGAGTTTGTTAATCAAAATTTTGTTTTAAGTTTTACAAAATATAAAATCAATAATAAAACAAATTTCAAATTTAGGCTTTCAGATGCCCGTATTCGCAATAGGATTACCTCATTCAAAATTGGATGGCTCTAGGTACCGTTGTTTTACCACAATGCGAGAAACATACATATATTTATGCAGATTTCTTCATTATTTAATTTCTTCAAATATAATACAGGACGATAATATTTGGTGGCAGCGATTTGAAAAGTGATGCAGTCTTTTAAAGTTTTCAATGCAAAATCGCAAAACGGAAACAGTAGTCCTTCAGGGACAAAGCCCCTTTGGAATAAAACAAATTCTGAAAGTCTCGTGTGCCTGGAGATAAATTTTTTTTTTTTTTTTTTTTTTTTTTTTGTGCGTGTGATGGTGTATGTGTGTACAACGTTGACATTGATCGCTTTGAAATCCTTGAGTTTGTTAATAAAAATTCGTTAAAGTTGTAGAAAATTTGAAATCGGTATTAGAACAAATTTCAAATTCGGTCTTCCAGATGCCCATATTTGCAGGAGGATTACGCTATTCAAAATTTAATGGCTGCAGGTACCGTTGTTTTATCACAATGCGAGAAACATACATACATTTATACAGATTCTTCATTATTTAATTTTTTTAAACATAATACAGGGCGATAATATTTGGTTGCTATAAATTGGAAAGTAAAGAAGCTATGCTTGTAGTGAATCAACGCAAAATGCCAAAACGAAATTAATAGTCCTTCTGGGCAAATTGCCCCTTTCAGTGTATTGGCTGCCTGTTTAATAGCATAAAATATTTTTAAAAAAAAAAAAAAAAAAAACGAAAGTTTTCAGATTTTATATTACTACCAAAGTGGCTTTCTTTAACGTTTTGTGTGTTACCTTTATATCTTAAATATGTTGTTTGCACTTAAACCATAAAATTCAACAGCAATATCACAAAAAATATAAAAAGAACATATCTTTAGAATTTCTGATACACAGTCTCATGCGCTGTAGATATTTTTTCCCCGTAGAATGCTGCCATTGCTCGCTTTGAAATCGTTGAGTTTGTTAATCAAAAATTCATTAAAGTTTCACACACTATGAAATAGATTATAAAAGAAATTCTAAATTTGGGCTTCCAGATGCTCATATTCGAGTGGAGGACTATGTTATTCAGAATTTGATGTCTCTAGGTACCCTTGTTTTTCACAGTGCGAGAAACATACATAGATTTATGCAGATTCTTCATTATTTAATTTCTTTAAGGCAGGGCTCTAATATTTGGAGACAACAATTTGAAAAGTAAAACGCCATTTATTGTTAACCAACGGAAAATGCCAAAACTAAATTAATATACTGTCTGGGCAATTTGCCCCTTTGGGCTAATAATATGGATTGGAGGTGTCAAGATTTTACATTGTAGATCATTTTTATAATTGTTTCTAGATTAATGTATTAATGATAGGTAATGGCAAACTAACAATTAATTTTGGAAAACATGCCAAAGGTTGAAGCACTTTTAACCCGAACTTGCAAAAGAAGCGGGTTAAATTTTACGTCTTACAGATAGAAAAATGTTCGCGAAATAACAAGGGAACTTCGATTCTGGTATATCTAAATCTTACCGCAAAACTAAAATATTCATTTTTTTAAAACAATAATATTTTAATGATAAAATGTTAAACTTATTAATTTTTATTAAAGTTTATTCTTAACGCAAGAGACACAACCTAAACACAAAGTGTTGAAGCATATGGACGCTTCCGATTGCCTCCTTCCACCGCACACTACTACATCCTAACTTAAAAAAAAAAAAAAAAAAAAAAAGTAAACATTAAAATAGATGTATTCTTAACATCCTCCCACATAAAATTACCACTGGATCTGTAGCCACCTAAACTATACTCAACAGACTGCATGAAATACACCTTACGTTCACGGGTACCAGCTACAGTGGTACCATTGACTGCTGAACACACGACTAGACACCTGGTGTGGTGTCAGCGTACACATTAACGGCAGTTTGACAGCGGACTGCTACGTCACGCAAGTTGTGAAGCCTGTTCTTTGCTGGTTGCAGAACCTGAGTGGATTTGACAATCCTACCCTGGCCGGCAGCTTCTCCAGATCTGAATCCCATCGAACACCTGTGGGATGTCATTGAACATGATATTAACCAAGGACCAAGGCCGCAAACCCTGGATGATATGCGTACAGCAGTGGATGTGGCTTGGCAAAGGCTACCTCAGGCAACCATCAATGAACTCATTGACAGTATGCCTCGCCAGACTGCAGCCTGTATCGCTGCCCTAGGTGGGCA